AGGCCGCCTCGGCGCCCCCCGGCCGCTCGCCCCTGCCCCACGCCGCCCACCTCCCGCTCGCCTTTGCGCGCTACTTTCGCACAAACTCCGCTTGAACGCCTCCCAAATTTCTGCCGTGTCTGAGGAAACACCAATGACTTAGCAAAAACGTAATATGATTTATTTTTGGTGTCACGGCGATTGATTCCTGCGCTGACCCCTTTTCATTCATAAGCCTCCCCACCTCCTCTCTCTCACCCTCCCTCTTTGATATATGAGTTTTGTATTTAAAATTACGTATTGGAAGAAAGCTTTCGTAAAGGGACCCGTGAGCAGGGACAGAGCAGCACCAATTGTCATGGAAAGGCACCGCAGATTTATTAGGCCAGGGGTTTTCTGGTTTGTACTACTGAAGAGAGAGAGAAAGAGGAAAAAAGAAAAGACCTCTCTCAGGCTAGTATCTTGTCCCTCTTTTCTGTATAGCATTCATTTACTGACTAAGATGCTGGCACGCACCACCCTCCCATGCTGGATTTTTACCTACCCCAAATCCACCCTTTCACTTTTCTGTCTTTTTTTGTAGTCCGGGACTACTAATTGCGACGTAGCCTGTATGTATTTGTTGCTGCAAGAGCTGAGAGGAGGAGGAGGAGTGGGCCGAAGGCAAGATGCAGCGTGCGCCTTTCGGGGCCGTGCTGAGGGGGATCTCAGAGGGGGATCGCCGCAACCCCCTGCGGCAGCGCGGAGCCCGCGCCCCTGGCCCAGCGCCTTCCCACCTCACTGGCTTTGTATTTGCTTTCGATCTTGTTTCGTCCGGCGATTTATTTCCAAGCGCAGGAGGGTTGTTTTTTTTTTTTTTTTTGATACAAAAATATGAGAACAATTGTTAAATTGGAAGCAAATGTCCTACTTTGTTTTTGTTTTAATAATCTCAAGGAATTGAATAATTGAATATAGCAAATATTTCTGTCTTCTGAAGCCTCTTGAAATGGTAGTTGGGAGCGATTTCTTTTGTCTCCTCTCTCAATACACACGAGCAGATGATTAGAGCATCAGATTACTCCAAAGCAGGAAAGAGGAAGGCGGCTAATGTAGGCAAAAAAAATTTTTTTGAATTAAATACATAGTAATTAGTAACACACGTTTCTTGATTTTATAAAGACATTTATTTACGCTATGAAAATAATGTACAATAAATAATTTGCCATTTACTATTAAAGGATTTGAATAAATATACTACCTCTAAAACTTAAAAAGAGGAAATAAATTTCCTCTATTGTTTAAATTTTATTAAGAAATCTAAAAGTCTCATTCTGATTCCTGAGAAATTCACTTGAATGATTTACAAATGTTTTCTCTTGGGTGCTGGTATCTCTGATATGCATGAGGACTATTGGGTGCCTTCTTTAAAAATAAATAAGACAAAAGAACTATAATTAAATATCTGAATTTAGTAAAAACTAGGGTGCTCTTTCATGTGAGTCTCTTAGAATAAATATTGGGAGGGTGATTCGGGTCCCACGATATGGAGAGTTTTAAAAGCAAATGTCTATGGGACGGGATGGGCTGAATGAGTGAATAATGGTTTGGGCTATGTTTTTGGAGTGCCCCCTCCTAAAGGAGACTGGGGGCAGCTGGTTGTGGCTCGACAGGGGGGTTGTGCATGTGTGCCTGGAATGGGCAGGAACAGAGAGGCAGGTGGCCAGTGGAGATTGCTATTGGAAATTTAAATGTTGCAAATCTATAGTACAAAGTGCGCTCGTAAAAAAGTCCAGGTCTTCCTCGGAGAAGTGGATGGGGCTCTCCAAGGAGCCCTGTAGGCTGGAGGAAAGCCCCTCCGAGAGCTGCAGGCAGGAATCTGCCGAGAAGATGCTCAGGTCTGGCAACAAAGGCGAGTGCTGGCCCTCGGGGTAGGCACGGTCCGCGGGGCCGGCCGCGGTGCAAGGGGGGCTTTCCTCAGCCTCGTCCACGGCGTCGCTACTCTCGTCCAGGTTGGGGTAGGCGAGGTCCCCATCGGGGGGCTCCTTGTGCTGGGTTTGCCTCTTGTGCTTCATCCGCCGGTTCTGGAACCAGACCTTGACTTGCCTCTCGGTGAGGTCGAGCAGAGCCGCGATCTCGACCCGCCGGGGCCTGCAGAGGTATTTGTTGAAGTGGAATTCCTTCTCCAGCTCCAGGAGCTGCGTGTTGGTGTAGGCTGTCCGGAGCCTCCTCGAGCCGCTGGGGTCGGCGAGCCCCTGGATCTCTTAAACACACACAAAACCGCACATTGCAAAGAGAGGGAGCGAGGGCAAATGCGGTGACGGATCGTCTGGATCTATCCTCTCCCTCCTGCGGGCTGGGCGCAGCCGTGCCTGCACTAACGAGCTTGGCATAGGAGTGAGGGAGGAAGCTTTAAGCCGGTACAAGAGAAAATAAATCTTAACTGAGCTCTTCCCACTGTGGAAGGGAGGTTGGAAATCACCCTCCAGCCTCCTTGCCCCAGGGAGGAGAAAGGATTCTGCTCCCTGGCCTCTACCTTTAGAGACCTTTCCTCTCTGTCCCCTTCACGGACAAGGGGAATTTCGACCCACTCCTTATTATTCTTTTGCCAATAGTTTAGGAACTGACGCTGCTGAGCTTTGATTTCATTATTCCCGTATTATCTGGCCAATGGGCTCTGGTTTCCGCCTTTCTCCTGCGCTAGTATTCACCTGAACGATGCTAATAAAATACTGAAACTGTAAATTCTATCTTAAATATTTTTTCCCGGGGGAAGGATGGTCCCTGGCCAGGATTGCTGAACTTCCTCACCAAGAGGCGTCTTGGAAAGGGGATATTGCTTTGTTGGGGGGGGAGGGAGGGATGGGGGTTATATATTTTTTATTTTGTAGTTAGGGACTGGCTCTCTACAATGTGTTGAATGCTGAGAATCCTGCTCTCGCTCTCTCTCCCTCCTAATCTTGCTTGAAGCAGCCTCAACATTTCCCTACTCGTCTTTCTTTCCCTTTTTTTCTTCTTCTTTCTTTTTTCCCTCGTAGGCTGCAAAAAAATCCGGGGCTGGGAGGGAAAGTCGAGAAAATGGAGCTCTGCCTCAGCTGCCAGTTCCTCCCGCGGTAGCTAATAAAGGGTCTGACTCCCCCGGAAATCTCTTTCTGTTTGGTTTCGCAGAAGTTGCAGCAATATGCTCTTTTATT